CAGATCATCGCAAGAGCGTACGAGGTCCCCTCTGGTACAGTTCAGACCAAGGCGCGTCTCCGGGAAAGCTCTTGGTAGCCAGGCATAAACCAGCAAAGTAGAAGATGGTGTCAAAAATTGCACCAGCTGCAAAGAGTGGAGCTACTCCGCTGCAACCACGTCATCTACTAGAACTTTCGTAGTAGAAAACCGCTAACGACATCGTTGGCCTCATGGAAAAAGTACCACAGGACTGCAAGTTCGCCATCACTTTAGTTCAATAGTTCTCCAAGTAGCCTGAAGTGCAGTTGTGTGGAGAAGTTTCCACAAGCACGGTTACCAGTTTTCTGCATTCCGTGTTCGCTCGTGAGGGTTACCCGGACGAAGTCGTTTGCGATAACGGGGCCCAGGTTTTGTCGCGTGAATTCAGGCAGTTCTTAAAGGACCGCATCGTTCGCCTTGCCCATTCTACGGTTTACTAGGCCCATGCGAATGGGCTTGTAGAACGCTTCGCAGCATGTTTAACAGTATTGTGCAAGTCGCTCTTCTGGAGCATCGACCGTTTCGTCAAGCGGTGGTCGACTACCTGGGCGTCTATCTGCCGCACGCTACGACGGGAGTTGCCCCGGCTCTGGCGCTCTGTGGAAGGTTGCCCTGAACGCGCCTGGACGTCGTAGGACACGCGTCACCATCCTTTTTTAAAGATCTGGAAGTATAGCCCAGGCGACTGCGCCAGCGCGTGAAGAGCACGACAGTAGCCGAAGATACACAGACACTCGCCCTGCTGCCCGCAAGATCAAAGTCTCAGTCGGCGTCTTCGCTTGAGTAAACAAACTTTCTTTTGCCTGCAAAAGGAGTCTCTCCTTCAGCCGTCCCCAAAAAGTGGTGGGGCAGCGAGAATCGTCATCCTTCCCCCTAGGAGGTGGAAGAACATGGAACGCTTCAAAGTAGTCCAAGGTTCCTGCGGGTTCAAGACCTCTACAGCCAAGTAGAACCCGGGACCCATTAGCAAGGAGCCATGAGACTCCAGTTGCACATTGAGCACCTGATCTTCTTTGAGCTTCGACTGCTTCCCCGACTGCTCCTCTAGAGCACCGTACCGTCCCGTACCGGTTCCTGACACAGAGACTCCCCTCTCGAAGAACCAGCTACCGTCCACCCGGTGCCTGCCACCAAGCCTACTTCTTGGGAGGATTCAGCTGCTTTCCATCCAGTTTCGATTCCGAGCCTGCACCACTGGTGGTACCGACTGTCTCTGCAGCCGAGCAGCAATAGGTTCCTGCTGGACGTGTTCAGCCACCAAGAGAAAGGCAGGCTCCAAACCCCTACGGCGATTAACTTTAAGCACTTTAAAGAAATAATGTTTCCACGTACTGAATTGTTTGAACTGTTAACTTTGCAATGGGTTTGCAAATAAGTAAAGGGTTGTTTTCTTTTTGCTTCAATTGTTCTCAGGTTTTACATTTTTAATTAACAGCGGGATGCGAGGGGCAGTGTACGTTCCTTATCTCATGCATCGACGATTCTTTTTTGCAATATTTGGCGTGTTATGAGCAAGCCCGATTCTTTAACTTCTGCCATCGATACATGCAATGCTGATTTCATCGTACTTACCGAGACCTGGCTGCATCCGCACTTTCGTGATCATGACATTTTCCTATCTGCTTGGCATTTCTCGGTTTATCGCTGAAACCGCACAACGCGACAAGGTGGTGGTGTTTTGCTGGCCATTTCGAAAAACTTTCGATCCCAGTGTTTTTTTATTCCTTGCAACCTTGAGATTGTTTGGGCTGTCGTTTAAGTAAGTAATACGAAAATCATTCTTGGTGTTTGTTATCGACCTCCCACGGTTTCCTCTAGTTTTGTAGATGAACTTCATGATGTAATTAATATAGTTTCATCTCGATACCCCACCTTTCTTTTATTTCTGCTTCGTGATTCTAACATTCCGAGTATATCATGGAACAGTGAACCGCCCAGTATACATCCCGTCTCCTCTTTAGCCACTGAATTCTTGAACTTGTGCTCTGTATTTTCCTTTACACAGCTTATTAAACAACCTACAAGGACAACACAATGTGTCACGAACACCCTTGATCTTGTTTTGACATCTCAGCCTGATCTTCTCTCCGAGATTAGTTACTTGCCTGGCTTAATCGATCCCTGTTAGCTTACTTTCCAGATTTGCTTGTCGCGGCCAAAGAACCTTAAAAAAATTAAAACTATTCGTAACTATGCAAAAGCAAATTTTGAAGCAAATAATTGTGAACTGTCTATTTTTCCAGATAATTTTTTAATGGCTTTGATAATCGCACTGTACAAACTAATTGGGACATTTTTGTGGCTAAAGTGAATGATTTAACTAATAAATACATTCCCACTTTCGCCATCACATCTAATAGTTATGCGCTGTGGCATAGCCATAACCTGAAACGTTTATAAAAAAAGCGCTTATATAGATCAGCCATACTACCTGGTAATACGCCCGCTGGGCTGCTTACAAACATACCTCCGACGAATATGCAGCTGCACTAAAAAATACTAGGGAAGAATTTCATCAAAGCGCTTTGCCATCAATGTTAATAAACGACATTAGAAAATTTTGGCGTGTTATACAACCAAAAAGATGAGGATACGATCACTTCAGTTGACAGCACTGGAAACATAATTCCTTCTAGCCAGTGTGCATTGGTGCTGAATGAAGTGTTTTCACGCAACTTTTCTGTAACGTCAGGTGTCCTCATACCCGATACTCATGGCTTTGACTTTTTCGTCATGTCTCCCATACTCATCGAGCCTACTAGTGTAGAGAGCCTCATTAAATCACTTAAACCTTTTTCGTGCCCTGGATGCCATTCAATTAATCCCAATTTTTTGAAAACTACAAGTGCCTATTCTATTATATTTCTAAGATTTTTCAGCGGTCGCTCAACTACGGTTATCTTCCTGGGGAATGGAAGGTCGGGGAGATGATTCCACTCCATAAATCAGGTAGCAAGTCTTCTCCCTTCTATTGCCGACCTATCTCACTAACCAGCATTCCTTGTAAACTTCTTGAGCACAATCTGTTTTCGCATATCGTTACATTCCTTGAATCAAACTGCTTTTTCACACCTTCACAGCATGGCTTCCGCAAAACTTACTCCTGTGAAGCTCAATTGGTATCATTTACGCATAAAATAAACATCATTCTTGGACCATTCCTCATATGCCGATTGTATTTTTTTAGACTTCTCTAAAGCTTTTTACAAGTTATGCCACAAACTTTTACTATATAAACTACACCAACTTAACCCTGATCACAAACTTCTCACATGGATTGAATGTTTTCTTCTTAACCATTCACAGTTTGTTTCAGCTAACAAGTCTGACTCGCAGCCAACTGGTGTTTACTCCGGTGTGCCACAGGGTTCTGTTCTTGGTCCTCTCATTTTCCTTATCTACATAAACGATCGACCTTCTTGGGTTTCTTCTAACATTCTCTTGTTTGCCGATGACTGCGTTGTTTTTCGTGAAATAACTTATGACGACGATATAACTAACCTTCAGTCGGACCTTAATGCCATCTCTGAATGGTGCAAAGCATGGTATATGGACCTAAACGTTAATAAATGCAAATATATGCGCGTATCTAGAAAAGCAAATACTTTTCCCACCTACTTTCTAAATCACCGTCCCCTTGATGCCGTCACTAGTTCTTACAAATACCTTGGTATTCACATTACAGCCGATCTCACCTGGAACGCTCACATCTCGTATGTTACTACCAACGCTAACAAAATGCTCGGGCACATCCGACGTAACTTTTCAAAAAACCCTTCGTCTTTAAAACATTTGTTATATAGAACACTAATCCGTTCAAAACTTAAATATGCTTCATCTGTGTGGGATTTTTACCAAGAAAACTTAATACGTTCACTTGAAATGGTTCCAAATAATTCAGTTCGTTTTATCCTATAACAAAACTGCCAGCATAAGCTCAATGAAATCTAGCCTCAACCTAGCAACTCTAGCATCTCGCCGTAAATTATTTCGACTGTCTATTTCACAAGCTCTTTTATCACCCATATCTGCGCCACGATTTTATTTTGCCTCCCCCGTATATCTCATCCAGGTTGGATCATGCTTTTAAGGTTGGAATTCCACTCTGCGAAACTAATGCTTTTTTTCAGTCCGTTTTCCCACGCACATCAGATGAGTGGAATTGCCTTCCCGTACCTACGGCAGCCATCGAAGACCACAATATTTTCAAGAACGCCTTAGCTATCATTGAGTGATTAGGAGCCTCTTATTTGTCTTTATTAATAACTGCACAATGTTGTTCTATCTTATGAACTGTAATCCACTCCCCTCTATAATGCCTCAGGCCTTGAGCGTAAATAAATAAATAAACAGGAGTAACGTACTAATCAGTTACAAACCTACTGCGTGATTTTTTAAGGATGAGAATATGTTGTATCGTAGTCTCGCATATTTATGCTAAATCTCTGAACTCTGTATTGTCTTTGTCGCTAGTGTTGTTGTCAATATAAACATGCACTGACATATTAAAAAAGACTTAAAGTTGTTCGACCGCAGCCGCTTGGTTGTCACTTCGGGCTCGGTCACTACACGACAAAAGTGAATTGGTATTTTTTATCACCTGACACGAACTGCCACGCTATATATATTATGCGCGGAAATTGAATTGAGGTATAGGTCATGCGCCCTCAGGTCACGTGATGAGAATACGCACGGACCGACGGATAGACATTTTTTGGCGACGGGGGTCCCTTTGCAAAGCACTTTATGCTTTGGAAAACTAAATATACAAAAATAAAGATGCATTACTTAATAAATTCTTCGCGATGATATAGCCATTAACTTCCGGTCGTTAACAAGTTCCTCAATCTGTCCACGGATTTGGCTTGTGCAGGATTTAGGACTTATTAGGAGAAACATTTTATACCTCAGTGACTTAAGTTTTTTTTTTTTCCTAAGCCGGAAATGTATATCCCTGACGCTAATAATACAATTTTCAGGCATTGAACCAGAGGTCGGAGGAATTTGTTTGACTGGCCACAACATAGCAGCAGCGACAGATGACGCCAAGACGTACAGCGGCGTCTATAGTGCTGCTCGCCAGCTATCGAGGCTGTAAGTTCGCGTACAATTGGCATTTTAAAAGTGCGCACACATCAACCAACCAAAATAAGTGACAAGCAAATAAAAGAAATCAATCGGTTAATTTTGCAACATCATAGCTCATAATTACCTCCTACTAAAATATTTGTTATTATTATTTGAAACTTACTGTAAAAAAATCAACGAACTTAAACTATTAGCATCCTCTGGAGTAGTCCAAGTTCTTGAAAAATACCAACATATATATATATATAACTATTCTTGCAAGTGCATCCGGACATTCCTTGGAACAGGGCATTTTAGCAGACGATGGGAGAGTAGCCAATGTGGTCTTAGTATACACAAGGATGCTGATTAACAAAACTCACGTAGTTTTTGCCCGGTTTCATTGACGTGTCTCGTTTTAAATGCTCTAACATATTGTTTAATTTAATTTACTAAATTTACTAAAGTGGAAGTATCATTCACATATGACGTCCACCCTACAATGACTGTGTTACCAAGTTGATTGTATTTTTAGACTTTTCGAAAGTGTTTGATAGTGACCCAGACATCACTCTTATACAACCGTAATTAAGTAAACATTAACGCGGATGTACTCAGATGGATACTCAGTTTTGATTAACTTTGAACAATTCGTCAGCATACAATTCGTAAGCATTTAAAAATTATAACCACCAGAATATCTCTAACGCCAAAGTGTGTCCAAAGGTTCAGTTCTGCGTCCATTATTATTTCTCATTTATATTAGTTTCGATTATTGTGTTATCTATAAAAATATACAGATGCTTCCAACGTCTCTGACTTATAAGCCCACATAAAAATGTAAATCGGCATCACGGTGTGCTCTATGTGAGGCCCTTTATACGCTGTGGAAAGTAAAAAAAAAAAAAAAAACGAATACCGATCCTCGCGGGGTTCAAGCTCCAACTGCCCCACGCGCGCACTTGTTACCTGGTTGTTGGTCGTCTTTATTCTCCTCCTTTTCGTTTAATAATTGACCATTTGAATACATTTCTGCACACAAGTACTTAGGTGTCAATCCTATATCTAACATATTATGAAAAAAGAAAAGCACTGTAACAACTGTACCAACAAAGTTAATCGTATACTTCGCTTTCTCAAAATAATATTTTCTTCGGGTCCCGGTCTTTCCATACATTCTTTACAAAACCGCTGTGCGGCCACAATTGAATATACGTAATCTATTTGGGACCGTGGTCAGTGTATATAACTGATTGACTGGTAACACACAAAAGAGGCCTGCTAAATTTATATATTTTCTAATTAGCAATAAACAGTAAGTGTTACCACTATAAAAATAAATTTCTCTCTCCCCAACTATCAACTCCCAAAGCGTATTCCGACTAAGTTTGTTTTATATAATTTATTTCGTGTGAGCGACGGCGGAGCTACAAAAAAAAAAAACACGAACGTGGTGCTCTGAACGATGTTTACACTGCACGACCCAGCTTGCTTGGCGGGGACGCCGAAAGCCCAATGCTTGCAGCGTCCCCGCCAAAGCGTATACATTGCTTGTAGCAGGAGGCAAAGCAGAAATACAAGCTTTGGGCTGAAAGCCCAAAGCTTGTATCTTCTGCTATGCCTCCACTTAAAGTGAACATGAGCATTCCTTGATAAACCGAGAGAGGAGAGCAGATGAGAGCAGGCGGCGACGACAGAGCGCCGAGCTCTCATTAAGAATACATTGCGTCTACCCGATCACTCTCCTTCCAATCAGAGCTCGGAGCTGCGAAGCGGCATGCTTTCATCTTCTTTTCTTCCTAAGTTTCTGTTGGTATTGACTTTAGCATCCAAAGAAAGTTTTCATCTAATATGTTGTGCAACCCTTCCTCATACCACCTACGGTCTGTGAAAAAAACGAACTTCCTTCTTTCGTAGTCTCTATACCAGGACCTGTGATCGACACGCTTTAGATTGTGGTGTCATCTAATATGGTTAATGTATTTTTCGATGTGTTATATTTGAGATTTCGTGTTTTTCGGAGTTTATTTTCTGTCAAATACAGAGGGTGTTTTTCGGATTTTATTTTTTCCGTAAATTCGGACTTTATCGGAGTTTATTTTCGTTTGTTTCCCTATTCTCCGAAATTCTTAATTTAATTTCTCAGTGTTTCCTATTAAAAATAAATAAAACATAAATGCTATCCTGATGTACACGTATGCTACAAAACAAAACAACAAAAAAAAACGCGCTTGTATGCATTCATATTTCTCAATTGGATTTGGCGTTGGACAGGCGAAAACATTGTTTTGCTCTCACCACGCCATTGGAAGGTATTACGGTTTTAATGTAAATTACGTTGGTTCTTGTTTTGCCCTCACCTATAATTTGATTTTCCTATCTACAGCCTAAAACATTAAAAAAACATAACATTTTTTCTCCCCTAGCTTTTACGCAAATTACGTGGCCAGGAGAGACAGTAAACATTAAGGAAAATCGATTGGTTGACATTAGGGAATGCACTAGCATGACCCTTCGAAACGCCCCTTTGGGAAACGCTAACGCTGACCCCTTCACTTTTCTGTTTTGGGTTTTTCTTTCGTTTTCTATATTTCTCGTTGCCTCGTTTTGGTTTTGTAACGGCGTCGGTATCAGAGTTTCCCACAGAGGGACCTGTGTGACGTTTCCCAAGGGTCGTGCTAATGCATTCTCTAAGGATCCACCAATGGATTTTACTTTAATTTCTACCGCCTACCGGGACCAGTGCTGGTACTTGCTTCACACTCTGTTCTCCCCAAGGCAGACGCACTCTGCACACCTGCAAGTTCAGACTCGCCTCAGCATCCGCGCGCGCCTTGGCTTCCGCCCAGTGACGTCGCCTCCCTCCCGCCTTTGTCCTTCATTACTCTCCTTATCTCCTCGCGTCGCACTTTTCTCTTTTACTGTTTTGTCCACAGATGGACGCCATCGGCCTTTCCCAGTCATGCGGCGATTAGTGTTAACGCATTAATCAAACAATATTAATCATAACTACATACAGATAGTTACCGAAGTATGTATTCAGAAACTCCATACTGAGCATATGAAACATGCTCGGACTCCAAGCACAGGTCCGGGGCGGAAGGAACGCAAAGTTGCAGAATTTTATATTTTGTGAAGAAATTCTGAAGGACTCACGTTCTCCAGCTTAATGCATAAGATTTGTTTTTTACGACGTCGGCGTTATACGTTTGCGTTAGAGGTTTTGCTTGAGTTATTGATGGTGTGGATTCTTGAAATATAGTTGAATGTTTTCACTTCTCGGAATCTATGCAATTATTACTGTGCCGCCTGTTAGGCAGATGTATTTTCTCTTTATTGCGCACAGATAAACTTTATTCAAATTCATGTGAGTGTGGAATGCTAAGTGTATATTTTCTATCTACGTCAGTGCACGGGTTTTTTTAGGAACACTTACGCGTCTTTCTTATTTTTCAGCATGGGTTCTGTGTACGACGGTGAGGACCCTCCACCAAAGCAGTTTGTACCAGGAAGTGATGGAGCTCGTTGGTGCAAGTACGAGAACGGTCACCTTATGGGTCAGCCTCCAAGGAAAGAAAAAAACATTTTAAAAGTGTCTGATTGCACTGCACACCAGTACATAAATGGTCTAAGGTTCACGCACTTTCATTGACGTTTCTTCCGTTTTATGCCTTTTATAATGATTAAAACATGAATGTAATTAATGTAAAATATATTAGACATTTTGGTTTACCTATTCAACGTGAGACTGGGAGGGGTCACGCCCAAAGAGTTCACCTGTGCTTAGCAAGTGGCACTGAGGCTCAGGCGCCCCGAACATGCTAACATAGTGCTCACATTTGAGCAACTGAGTAGGCGACCCAGCAGTCGCGTCCCTGGCGTCTTAGCTAAGTACTAAACCCATGGCTGCAGCAACAACACGTCATATTTGTGTATGTTTCTCACGCAGTGCTCAGCTGACGTAGTAGAACGCTAGGTCAGCGTTTGGTTGAAGCTCTTATTCTATCGAACACGTGTCCCGGTCGAACGCTTATGCAGCACTCGTGCCCAGCTCATACCACCTACAAGACAAGACCTGAGCATTACGTAGTCGTTAGTGGATCCCCGACCCACTCAAAAAGACGCACGTGTGGAAGCTCCACGAGGGTACGCTGCAAAGCGACTGACACGTGCTTCTTGGCGTTGCCGTCTGCAAGCATAGCGCTCGTGGTGAGAGGCCGCATGACACATGTGCGGCGACGCTGATATAATCTAGTCGGCGCTGCGTGGATTCATTACTGATGATGGTGAAGAAGGGGGGGGGGGGAGGGGGAGGGGGGTGCTTGTCTTTTAGGTGGTATTGGTATAACCCTTGTCCGCAATCGATCGAGGAAGATCACGTAGAAAATTTAGACCCCAGGCCTTGTGTCGGCTTAAGCGCGAGACACATGGACGGCAGATTCGTCCGATCCGACGTCCGATCCGACAGTCCGAACGCCGCTCCGAATCGCCGCACGCAACAGTTTGAGACACACGCTTCCGACCTTGCATACGACACGACGATCCGTTCGGCTCCGTCCATGAGATCCAAGCGCCCCAGCGGAGGTCCGCGTTCACAGATCTCTGGTCCCAGATTGACGGTATAGCTTACAAGACCGAAGTTAGAAGCTCGTTCTCGTTAGCCCGTGCCTTCTTTGCCGGGGCCATCTTTCTCGAATCGGTCAGCGGGATCCACGCGTCCGCCTTCCCGTCGCCCGTCCCGTTTTGTTCGTCCCGCCAGACCCAGTACGTCATCATGACGTTCGCGCTAGCTGCGCTGTCATTGGCTGGACGCATCCGACAATCCGTCCGCCGTGCGAAACTATCTGGCACGTTGGACGCACACCGGATCGCCGATCCGACGTCTGAAGCGACCAAATTTTTCGGATCAGGCAGTCGTACTGCCGGATCGGACGTCGGATCGGATGGATTTTTCGCGGATGTGTCTCGCGCTTTAATCGCGAGCATGTACGGAAAACAAGCTGGTCCAAGAGCACCATATAGAGTTCGATTTCCTCGGCAAGTGTCCCTTTGTCTGGCGAACCGGGGCCACACCCGAGTTTTTTGCGGCACATTTTTTTACCCCTGAAAAAAGATTGGATTAATTACATGCCTGGGCCGTAATGGGAAGATTCGGTTCGGGCGCCCGTAAGTCATTATTGTCTTTCCGCGCCCTTGGGGGTTTACATTTAAATTTGCACAGTGCATTGTTTTAATTTTTCTTAAACTTTGGATTGCTTTATGAATATAAAATCTATCGGAGAAATATGGTTTTAGGTGGACTATATAAAACCGAGTAATTACCCATTAACAACAACGTGCAAAAAAAAAAAAAAAAAAGATTGCGCAAAATGAATGTTTATATGTATACGTCTGTGATTTATACCAGAATAATTTATTTAAACGATTACCAATAGGTCATATATTTCCTTTAAATGGATAGTGCTGGACAGTTGCTCCTCATTAAATATTTACCCAATTTCAGACACCGTGGACCCGGTTGTTACGAATCTGCCAAAACCAAGGAAATGCAGCTGAGTAATGAGGCCAAATAATACTTGCAAGAAAGCGAACCAGCGAATCTTCGTCTTCAAAAAATAAATAAATAAACAGTTCAGTCTACTACCTTTACACAGCCGATAGCAAATCGCGGTGTTTTAATATTGTTGCGCATTCCTATGTGTAGTGTTAATATACTGTAAACGACTTAATTTTCGCGGGCTTAAATTTTCGCGAATCGGGCCAAAGCTCTAAAGTTGAAATTATTCGCGGGTTCTAATTTTCGCAAATCGAGTGTAGCTTCCGTAGCGTTCACATATTGCCAGAATTGTTCGCGGGCCGTATTTTTCGCGAATTGCGGGTGATTCGCGAAATTCGCGAAAATTAGATCTTCGCGAAACTTTAGTCCGTTTACAGTATGTATATATATATATATATATATATATATATATATATATATATATATATATATATATATATATATATATATATATATTCCAGAAACTTTGAATCATTTTGTTACATGTAATTCGATGCTCATCTTCATGTTCTAACACAAAACCAGTTGGATTTTAGGTTGACTAGTTATGCTGCCGTTATTATAAAAAAAAAAAAGAAATGTCGTGCAATCGTGCTCTAATCTTGGCTAGTATAAAACCAAAATTATTACGGATATGACGTCCCTTGAATAAAGTAATTGTAAGAAATAGTAAAATTCCCCTGGTCACGAGGAGATTACTAAGCAATAAATACTATAATTTCCAGAGGGAACTTTTCGTGCATATATTGTGGTTACGGCTGCAAAAAAAAGGGTTTTGCACTGGTATTTTTTATAATTGTAAAGTTTTGAAAGTATTCAACAAATAAAAATAAGACATAAATGATAAAAATGCACAGTTCACATGTTTTTGTAGGTTTCCTATCACCGACTGAACCAATCACGATCCTGGGATTTTTCATTATGCGTGATTGCGTGAGCCGCTGATAGAAAACTCACAAACACAGCGAGATCCGTGACTGCGCACTTTTGACGGTGCCTGATTGGCCCTATGAGATCGTGGCCTCGACTACGGTCGGGCTTAAAGTGAAACGAAGTATAAGCTTTCGTCGGGCGTGTACCCCTATCTGAAATAAGCACCCATGCCAGGCATAGTACAACCCCGAGACTACATGGGACAAAAGACAACGAACAAGCACAACCTCAAACACAGCTGAAGCAGTTTCAGCCGTGTTAGAGACCGTTGGGAATGACACAACCCACTGGTTCAACAACACGTAGTCATTTAATGAGAGTGGCTGGCACGGGCGCCGCGACCCAAATGCCTCCACGCACACTTCAGTGCCGGCCTTTGATCAGTGACGGAGCTCCACTCTCTTGTCAGATTGCACTTGACCACCTCGCAGTGGAAATGACCAGAGGCGATTTAACATGCGGGCAGCATGGACCAACGTCTTCAAACACCAGGTTTCACAAAAACTGCGTGTGCGCGCTCGTGTGTGCGGCGCGCTCGTGTGCGTGTGTGCGTGCGCGTGCGTGCGTGCGGGCGCGTGCGCGCGCGCCGTGTGTGTGTGTGTGTGTGTGTGTGTCGTCTTTTGCTTACTGCACTCTCGGTGCTGCGTTATGTCTATCTTCACCATCTCGTTTGCGGCCTGATTTTGTTCACTCTGGCAGTCATTTACCCTAGAGAATAGTTAGTTGCACGAGAGTCAGGTTAGTTAGTCGGACATTACTGATTTTCACACTGCCTCTGTTAACTTCAGGTCACAGCTGGACGGTATTGCTCGAAGCTACATTGGCAGTCGTTATTGGTGGAATTTTGCGAAAGAAACGAAAGGAATTTGCCTTTTTTCCGGTAGAAATATATTTCTGATCGCTCTAAGCAAAAAAGTAGTTTGTTGTCCGTGGTTTGCAAGTAGTCTCACATTATAACACGCGTGAAGATTTATGAAAGCAGACAATATGCTAATTAAGTTAAACCACTTAGTTTCTTATAAGCTCTTTCGATGATCACCGTCGTAGCGTTTGTTCAAAACAAATCGACGAAATATATCGAATAAAATATACACACTGATAAACACTTGATGAGTTCACCAACAAACAGCGTAGAATCTACGGCCTAGATGCAAGGTATGTGCTTCTTCGATCGTGCTTATGAATTCGTACCGTCAATAACTCCTCCAAATTTTCGGTTTGCGTAGTGCTACAGTCAGTGCGTCGTACGTAAATGTATTTGACTGCTAATGAAATAGTCAGCAATACTAAGGAACGTTTTTTTTTTTTTTATGAAAACATAAATGTTTGCCTTCGCCGAGTATCATTATTAGCAAGTGTTCACACTGAAATAAATAACACAAGGACGAATTTGGAAACGCCATCTATTATTTCGTATAGCACTCCATCTGTGTTTGCTGCGAGTTGCACCAAATGGGGGTGGAGTCAATAGGGGTTGCATGCGGGCTACTCACGTAGACTCCTATCTTTATTTGTAAAATAGGGCTAATTGGTTCCTGAAACCGTATATGGCTCAGGCAGCATTGGAAGTAATGCGTCACAAGGAACAACATAGCTGGTATGGCGTCACTTGTTCCAATTAAGCCTGTAGTCATTAGAATTCTGAACTACTGACAAGCAAAGTATTTTTGTTGTAATTTTTTTACATCGACTGAGAAATTGCCTTACTCGTTACTCGTTCCCGTAGATTACAATTACCTTATAGTTTAAAAGAAATCATAGTGCGCTCTGTAAACTGCTCTAAAAGTGGTAACATCTTCAACTCCGCGTCATAATTTGGAAATTCTTTGCTGAGAAAACAAAGTCGATTAAGTCAGAGCTAAATATATATTTTACAAATGTGATGTCCATATATAATAAAGTTTATAAAACCACTCTCTAGAAGCTAATTGTTGTCGAAGTTTGCAGCCGCGGCGGCTTAGAGCTGCAATATAATATTGAATTTCAAAGATTCGCGAAACAGATGCTCGTTAGCGTTATGAAAGTAATCGCAACGGTATTTTGTTACAATTAGAGAACCATAACGAATCTCAGTAACGCATTAATTTTTGATAGACTAACAAGTAACCCAGCCTAATAAGTCCCGGATATGCATGTCGTTTGGGGCATCAGTGGACTAACCTTGTGGTGACATCGTATATGCGTTTTTTTTTTTAACCATTTGATGAAAGTAGCGAAGATATTAGGTCATACTATTACCCTGGGGAGGAAGTTCACTGGGTTCTAGACATAACGTCAGGAGACAGAATGTGTAGAGTATTCATTTGTCCACGGTGTTCGTTATAACCTTTACCGAGCTCGTGGCAAGTGCAACACCTACGACTGTCGCGAGTAAAGTACTTACAATGATCTCGTGGTTGGTAATGCTATGGGTCACGTGGCCAACTGACTTCAGTGTCCATTGTGGCGTCCGTTACGTCAGGTGACATGGTCACGTAGTTGTTGTCACATAACTACCTCATGCTGATGGCGGAGTTTGATCACCTTCTCATGATGATGTCATGTGACCACAGTTATGCTCGTGTCTGCTACAAGATATCAACCTAAGAACCTATTTATCATATTTAGTTACTAATATTTTGCAAGCTGGCTGCCCTTTCTTGCGCATTCGTGAATGGTGTATGGATATCTTCTGCGCTATTTCTCTTCATGCTATTTATCAACATAACGTTTCTGTAAGCTCTTTTAGGCAGCATGAAAGCCATGATGAGAACAAATAAGCTGCAAAGAAACATTTCGTACAGGCTCAAAATAGACGTACTAGTGGCACGTGCTCTGTAGTCTATAGACCATTTTATTAATTGTCTTCTGGGTGCTGTTATCTCTGCCTACTCTGCTGTGAAAGGCGTTCACAAAATGCGTAGTAGTTTTTTTGTTGTTTTTTTTGCAGAATATTAGACGTTGCCCAGTGACTCGTCATTATTCGTCTGAATAGCAAGCGTATTTGGGTGTATAGGCAGCAGCTTACAGATCCACTTCTTACTTTTTTTTTTCCATAGAGGTAATATCGGGTCCGCACGAAATGCGAATAGCGGAGCGCGTGGCTATCGGTGCATGCTGCGTCTCCTAGCTGTTGGCCTCATGAAACTGATAAAACTGTGGATTGGAGAGTTGGGCGCTGCGAAGGTGTGTGTCCTACTCCGATGTGTTGGACCCTCGCCTATAACAACCTAAGCTTCGACGCTGCGCCGGTGGTACATCGGGAGTTCCTTCAGAGACACTTTCGTTGGCTTGGCAGAAGCCATGCGAGGAAGCTCGCCACTCGTAGCACGACCAGGCTGCTAGCACGCGCGCCTGGCGGGTGCGTCCATGGAGAATGATTGCACCGTCACGCTCCCTGATTTTAATTAATACTCATTTTTATTTTCTTGTGAACAGTACAGCATAAACTGTGCGAAAGTAAGGCTGCTGACGCCTAAATGAAGTCAATGACCTGGCAAACTTGTATGCAGCTCCCAGCGCTCGCCCTGTGTTCCCTCAAGCTCTTGTGTCTCGTGGATGGCGCTGAAATTGCCAAAATGCAGGACCCGCCAGCTCCCGTATTTTAACAAACATTTTAACTAAATGTAGTAATTTTGTCACTGACATTCTGCAGGCAGCCAGAATCTCGTTCAGCGCACTCATTAAATTATCACCCGGTGTGTCAGAAATGTGAAATAGAAGCAAAATCATTTCGTTTGTGCACGGAAAACCCATGGAGCTTGAATGACGTCAGTTATCAGAACCACGCAGACGTCATCATGAAGGATTTAGAGCGTATGGATCCTGCGAAATAGTGAAACAACGCGGACGAGAAATTGCATGTTTATTGCTATACTTGTGACCCGCGCGTTGCATTACAGGAGAAGGAAGGAGAGAGGAGGGGAGGAAGGGGAGGGGAGGAGGAAGAAGGAGAAGGAGGAGAAAGAAGGTCGCAGAGGAGAGGAGGAGGGGAGTGAAGAGGAGGAGGAGGAGAGAGGTGGAGGGAGGGGGTAGGAGGAGGATATGACAGCTACTTGTTGTGCAGGCAAGTGATATCACAATGCATAAATCACAGAGAGGCAC